TTAACCACCACTCCACCAGATAGATGCTTTGGTGATTTTTTAAAATTATATTTATTATATATATATATATATATATATATATTTAATTTGCTATAGGGCATATGAGCTCACCAGAGAGAGACACAGAGAGAGGGAGAGGTAAAGTGAGAAGCAAGCTACCATGTCCAGGAATTGAACTATGGTCAGCTATGTGGGAGTCCAGTGCCTTAATTACCTTGCTACCTAATGGCTTCTCACTAAATGATTTTTAAAAACTAAAATCCAGTAAAGAAAAAAATCACATTTATTTATGTTGACTAGATCGATCATAACATTTGTCTTATCATGATTTGTAATATAAATCTAAATGTAACAAAACAGTTATGATGTAAAAGGACTTTTTGAGACAAAAATCCTGCATTTCAACCATTAAAAATTTATAATTCAGTGTCATTTAATACATTCAAAATATTGTATATCTACCACTATTTAGATGCAAAAAATTTTCATTGCTTCAAATGGAAACTCTCGGGCCCATTAATCATTCCCTACCCCTTCTTTCCTCCTTGTTCTTCTGACCCTGGAAACAGTTAATCTGCCTTTCACCTTTGTAGACTTTCTTGTTCTAAATAGTTCATATAAATCAAATTATCCAATGTATTGCTTTTCATGCCTGACTTCTTCCACTTAGAATACCATTTACAGGACTTATCCATGTAGCAGTATGTATCAATACTTTTTTTTTCATGATAATAGTATGCACATGTACACATGAGAGAAAGTGGGAGGAATAGATAAAACATAGAGGGGGAGAAGCACCCTCCACAGGTTGTCTGTTCATGCCACAACCCCCTTCCTCCAGACCTATAGCCCATTGGATCTTGAGTATGTGGTGTTTGCCTGACATGTTTCAAACTGACAGTTGCATTCAAACCATAGTCATCATGTGAGATCCTGATTCTCCCAAGCTGCGCATTACCGGTTAGCAGCGGAACAGGTCCAATACTTTCCTGCTTTTTATGGCTGATTAATATTTTATAGTATCGTCTTGTTTATCTGTTCATCAGTAGAAGGGCAGTTGGGTTGTTTCTACATTTTAAAAGTCTATTATGAATGATGTTGCTAAGAACTTCTAAGTGCGAGATATATTTTATTGATCTTTGTCTATTTGTTCTATGCAATATTAAACATTTCTATCTATAGTGAACACTCTTAATGATTACTGTAAAACTGACTATCTCCCAGAAATTTTGACAATTGTTTTATTATATCAGTTGGGACTCTGCTTATAATTGTACTTTCTTGGTGGACTGGCTCTTTTTCCAAGGTAGATAATATATTTCTTTGTCTCATAAAATTCTTGACATATTATAGCCTGTTTGTTTATTTATTTTTTTGGCCTGGAATACATTTTTCACTTTTAACCTATCATGTTTCTTAATCTAAAGTGACTCTTGTACACAATAGTCAAATCATTTTTAACTCATTATTCTAATCTTTGCCATTTCATTGAAATGTTTAATCCATTGCACTAATGAGGAAGTACTTAATCTGGACTTCCCTATTTAATTTTTTTAATATATGTTCAGTTCCTTCACCATTGTTATCTTATTTATTCATTTTTATACTAATGTACTATGTAATTATCTTTTCATTTCCTCTTCTGTCTTTTCTTGTTTATTTTTTAGTGGTTATCCCGAAGATTATAATTCAACTCCTAAATTCAAAGGAACCTAGTATGAATTAATGCCTTTTGAAGTTCTATAGCATACAAAACTTCTGCTTCCATACACTTCCACTCCTACTTTATGTTGCTATTGTACAAATGACATCTTTACATATTATACACAAATTAACATAGATCTATAATTACTATTTATGCATATGGCTTTTAAGGATAAAAAAAGAATTACAAACCAAAAAAACAATGACATTAGCTTTTAAAATACTTGTGTGTAATTTAATTTTTTTTTTTACCTTTACTCTTGTTTTATATTTCTTTCTATGGATTGTAGTTACCGTCCAGAAGCTTTTCATTTTATCCTAAAACTCATCCTTTAGTTTTGGTGCGGGGCATGTTTACTATTGAAACACATCCTCAGCTTTTGTTTCTGTCTTAATCTCTTCCTTTTTGAAGAATATTTTTTCAAATATGCAATTCTTGGAAAACTCATTAGTAGTTCATGTTATCCCACTGTCTCCCTGCTTCTATGGTTTCTTATGAGTGGTCAGTCAAAAATCTAATTAATGTTATCTCTTATCTCATAGATCACTTTCTCACCACTTCTAATTTCATGTGAATTCCTTCGATCTCTTCTAATTGGAGTTCATTGAGCTTCTGTTATACTGGCAGTTCCTTGAGTTTCTTGGATGTGCACATACACATCTTTCATTAATATGTGAAATATGTGGTTATTATTTCTCCAAATAGTCTTTCTGCCTTTTTTTCCATCTCTTCTTTTCTTCTGGAAATTTCATTATCATTATGTTGGTAAGACAGTTAAATCTTTGTCTTATTAAATCCAATTTCTGAGTTTCCTCAAAAATAGTTCCTATCAATTTTCTTTGTTCATCCCATTAATGGGGAATATTCCTGGTTTTTGCATGCCTCATAATTTTTTATTTAGCATTTGATGTTTTGAAAATCTTTTTACAAAGAATTATTTAATTCTGTTAGTTGTTATTATTTTTTTTTAATTTAACCAGAAAGAGACACAGGGAGAGAGAGAGAAAAAGAAAGAGAAAAAGCAAGCCACTACGTCTCGGACTTGAACCATTGTTGGTAACATGGAAATCCAGCACATTTAACCACCACACTACCTGCTGACCCCAGATATTTTGAATATCTCAATAGGGTTATACAAGAAATCATACTTTCTACTATCTACTGAATTTGTATTGCTGTTATTGTGGGTTATAGTTATTTATTTTTCTACACTTGTTTTAGAAATTCTTTTTTCTTAATTACTTTTCTAAATTATTGTAGTAAGATGGTTCTTTTTGGTGTGTCATTAAAGAAATCTATCCAGTCAATTAGTGATTCTCCAGTAATATCCTTCAATTGGCAGAAGGAAAATATAAGGACAAAAATGGCAGATTTTTTTCTTTCTTCAGATTGTCTTTGTGGGAACTCTTAGCCAGGATATTTAAAACTGTATTATCCTTCACTTCCTGCTTATGTCGAGCCTAAAGTTCAGCTAGAGCTCAAAGTTGAAAGTTTACTTTTTCGGGACCAACAGATGGCATAACGGTTACATTGCTGGACTTTCAAATAGTTGCCCATGGTTTCAATAACAGACCCAGAGGCTTAAAAGTCACACAGGATGCTTGTACATATATGTCCAAAATTCCAAGAGGAGAATGCAGAAGGGATTCTGGCATGGCCATCCTGATTTTTTTCTAGCATTGTTCTAGACCTGGATATGTGTTTAGCCTTCAATATTTCCCAGAAATTGAGCAGATGGCATAATGATAATGGTTACATAGCTGGATTCCCATGAAGTTTTACCACAGTTTGAATCCTGGACCCAGCAACTTAAATTCATGCCAGGCATGTGTGCATGCATGCTCAAAATCCTGAGAGGAGAAGGGAGGAGCAGGGATTGTGGCATGGCTATCCCTCCTGGGGGGTGATTTCTCACTTCCTTTCTCTCTCTCTCTCTGGTGAGTGCACCCACTCTATATCAAAAATCTCTCTATAAAATAAATAACAAAAATAACAACAACAACAACAAAACACAGGATTTCCCCATAAAAGTGGAAGCTTTTTAAAGCTTTTATTTCCCCATCCATCTCCTTCTCTTGCCACCTCTTTCACAGACATTTTGGTTTGTCTGCTGCCCCTTGACCTGTCTGTTACGACTTTGCCTTATGCAATGGCAGTTAGTATACTTGATTAAATTCTTTCCACAAAGTCTACTCAAGTGGCTGTTCCAGCTCAAATAATCCTAAATGGTAAAATGAAATCAAACCCCTAAATTAATCCTTCATGGAAATAGCAGATAAGTCAAAACACACAGCGAACAATTCCTTAAAAACAATGTCCATATTACCCCCTTTGTCAACAGGTAGCCTCACCATAATGTAGGAATGACTGTCATGAACCATGAAATAAGGACTAGTAGGCATGTAATTCAAAACTTCACAACACTTTCTTAACATGATCTAACAGCTGCTGCTTCTTCTTCTTCTTCTTCTTCTTCTTCTTTTTTTGTAGCTGTTTTTGCTATAGGGCGCATGCGCTCGCCAGAAAGAGAGAGACAGAAAGCGAGAAATTACTCCCCAGGGGGGATGGCCATGACACAATCCCTGCGAGGACACAATCCCTTCTCTTCCATTCTCCTCTCGGGATCTTGGGCGTGCACGCACACGCGCTCGGTGTGAATTTAAGCCACTGGGTCTGGAACTTGAACCATGGTCGACTACATGGGAGTTCAGTGACAAAGCCATTACGCTAACTGCAGGTCCTGAGCTTCTTTCTTTATTAAACTGTCTCTTGTTTGTTGCAAACTTTTGTTTATATTTTAAGTTAAAAAAAAATACTTTAGGGGGCCAGCATGGGAGAGAGTGGTTAAAGTGGTAGATTTCCATATGGTCTGCAATGGGTCTAGTTTCAAGCCAGTGCTTTGAAAATCACACCAGGCACCTATGCATATGTGCCCCAAATCCCAAGAGGAGACTAGAGGAAAAGGCTATCCTCCCTGGTGGGTGCTTTCTCACTTTCCTTTTCTCTATCTCTGTCTCTCTCTGTCAAGTTCATATGCCCTATGGCAAAAACCTAAAAAAATAGACTCCAGAAAGTTAAATATAGTAAAGAATTTTTTGAGCAAAGAAATTGATGAATTGTTCTTCCCCATACCTATTTTATGTATGTGCTTATGTACATTATATATGAAGTATAATTACATAAATATAAATATATCATATATAATTATAGTTATGCATATGTTTCTCAGTCATATATAATAGAAATTAACATTTTTTGTATATCTATTTCAGGATAGGTTGCCTGCATGGCCTGGATGGACCAACACAACCTAACAATTCTGAAAGAGTTCATCCTAACGGGAATCACAGAACTCCCAGAGCTGCAGGCCCCATTATTTGGGCTCTTCCTCATTGTGTACCTGTTCTCAGTGGTGGGAAACCTGGGCCTGATCCTCCTCACCAAGATAGATTCCAGGTTGCAAACACCCATGTACTTTTTCCTCAGACACCTGGCTTTCACAGATCTTGGTTATTCAACAGCTGTGGGACCCAAAATGCTAGTGAATTTTGTTGGAGATCAACACACAATCTCCTATACTTGGTGTGCTACTCAGCTCACTTTCTTCAGTCTGTTTATCATTAGTGAAATTTTCATCCTGTCGGCGATGGCCTATGACCACTATATGGCCATCTGCAACCCTTTGCTCTACACAGTCATCATGTCACAAAGATTGTGTCAGGTGCTAGTGGCAATTCCTTATCTCTACAGTGTATTTTTGTCTTTGTTGACCATCATAAAAATTTTTATTTCATCGTTTTGTGGCCATAATGTCATCAGGCATTTCTACTGTGATAGTCTGCCATTGATAACTTTGCTCTGCTCAGACACACGTGAAATTAAATTGATAATCCTCTCCTTTTCAGTTTTTAATTTGTTATCTTCTCTTCTGATAGTCCTCATGTCCTACATTCTGATCCTTGTTGCCATCATCAGGATGAACTCCCCGGAAGGCAGAAACAAGGCCTTCTCCACCTGCGGATCTCACCTGATGGTGATAGTTGTATTCTACGGTACTCTGTTCTTCATGTACGTGCAGCCCAAATCCAGTAATTCCTCTGATACTGGTAAAGTGGCCTCGTTATTTTATACTTTGGTAATACCCATGCTGAATCCCATGATCTACAGTTTTAGAAACAAAGAGGTAAAAAATGCCCTAGGTAGAACCTGGGAAATGTTTGTGAATATTCTGTTTAAAATTCATTGCAGCATATGGTAAAATAAATTATAAAATACTCTTCATGTACCATAACTGATGTTTTAGCTTTGATCTTTTGCCTCACTGGGAAGGATGTGATGACAAGCCTAGAAATAATAAAACTGATTATTTTTAAAGCAAAGTCTGTCACCACCAGGTGATTAATCTGCACTTGTACTTATGATATTAACTTGTTTTTAGTTTAAAGTTACACTTAGGAAGCATCCTCAATGATTTGCACATAGTTTGTTTTCATGTCTCTTCTACTAAACATTCGTTTGCAGGCAGGGACTTGTATATTCTGTTCACTATTTTATCTATAATGCCTACTACAGTAAAAGACTGGAAAAGACTGATTTCTACTGGAACAGAGAAAATCTGGAAGAACTTTACAATAAAACTTATCAAACCCTTAGCATTACTTCAAGAGTTAAGGTCATCAATAAAGGACTACAGCATGAAACTAATGGATCTGAAGAGGAATCACCTGAAAGAGAAAAGGGCTCTCCTCCTGGAGTGAATGATTGTCATCCTCATCATCATAGGGCTCTAACATTATGTTAGAGCTGACACCTCTATTTTTCTGATAAAGTGACAAAGTGTCATCACAAAAGATATTCAAGTTCTGCAATCAAAAATAAAATTTTAACAGGGCCAGCAGGTGGCATAGTTGTAAAGGTGCTGGATTCCCACATGGCTGACTGTGGTTCAATTCCCATACCTGTGACTTGAAACTCATGTCAGATACATGTGTGTTTGTGTGTGCCCAAAATCTTGAGAGGAGAATGGAGTGAAAGGGAGTGCAGTGTGGCCATTCCCCTGGGGGTACTTCTTCCACTTTCTGTCTCTTTGCCTATGGAAAGTGCATACACTCTATAGCAAAAATATCCAAAAAACAATTTTTCACTACTGAATGATCTCTTATGTAGTGGGTATTTATTTTTTTTTAAATTAAGAAATTATTATATGATCTTTTTCAACTTCTGAAAGTGTTGTTTCTTGAATAAAGATTATAAATAATCCAAAAGAGAAAAACGAAGAAAGAGACACAGAAATAACTGGAAGAGAAGAGTGAACCTAGAAATAGATACACTTTAAATGAAGGTATAGAAGTTATTCAGTAGAAGAAGTTATTCAGTAGAAGAAGAACATCCTACAAAAATTAAGACTGCAGAAACTGAATGTTCATAAGCAAAAGCAATCAAATGAAAAACAAATCATGTTGTTGACCTAAAACTTATAAAAAAATAAGTAAAAATAGTTAAAGAAGACGTGAAACTATTCCAATGTTTAGACAAAACCTTAGGAGAAAATATATATCCAAGATGTAGGTCTAATGAAGAGTTTATGGATGTGATATCAAAAACACAAGTTAGGGAACCAGCAGTTAGCGTAATGGCTATGTCGCTGGGCTCCCCCGTAGTCGACCGCGGTTCGTGTCCCGGACCCGGTGGCTTAAAACTCACGCCGGACGCGTGTGCATGCGTGCCCAAGATCCCGAGAGGAGAATGGAGGAGAAGGGATTGCGGCGTGACCATCCCCCCTGGGGGGT